CCCTAAAACACGCCTCGTTCGATAGCTTTGAATTTAGTTTAGGCCAAATATAGAAGAAAATTGGCATGTTGCTTCTACAGAATATGCTAGTTGCACAATGGTAGAGTAACACCACTTCCAATCACCTTCCTATTTTTACCATTCACCAATTTCATCTCCTATAGAAGTCTTAGGTCGTACTGCGTCATCAATTGCTATATTTCCCCCCAAGAGAGTATGCAGTCTTATATCTCTAGTTTATCCATGCGCCCAACATTAGATATAGCCTTTCAAGTGGCCTTTATCAGACAACCTCCACAACATCCCATTCTCGGAACATTATATGCTAGGGTTGTGGAGTTCTTATAAGACCTCTCAAGGTAACCACGAAGTTTCTCCTTCATCTTTTCAAGCTATTCATAGCGCGTCGACGAATTATGAATTCAGTTTTGATCATTTCCTTTCTCATACTGGACATTGTCCAAGCCCAAACCGATTACTCACAATATGTGAATGTGTTGTAAGTTTACAGGGCTCCTTCGATGCAGATAGTCTCTAACTAACTAAGTACTGGAACACAAAATGGAGGAAACGATTTCCCGGGTGTTGCTCGACCTTGGGGAATGGTCAAGCTTGGCCCCGATCTTCTCATTCAGGGTACCGACTCATATTCTGGCTATCTTCCTAATGGAAATTTCTCAGGCTTCAGTATGATGCATGAGCAAGGTACTGGAGGTGCACCTAAATATGGAACGGTTGCCCAATTACCTTTGGTTGGAACAATCACCAACCCTTTATCAAGTATCACTGTCGGCAGAGCAGTTCCTGACCAAGGCTCTGTGGGTTACTATCGGGCACAGACAAGTGATAATGTTGTTGTCGAGCTTGCTTCTACCTCACACGCTGGACTCTACCAATACACGTTTCCTCTCACAAGCACCGGGAACAACATTCTGATTGATGTCAGCCATGTGGTGCCATCTTTCAGAGGTCAAGGCTTGAGTCAAGCATACGATGGAGGAAGTTTTCAAATATTTTCAGATGGCCATTATGAGGCATCTGGTGTATACAACAATGGGTGGAATAGATCTCCTGATTGGACGATATATTCATGTAAGTCTAATTTTTATGATACGATTTCCGATCTAATCAATTTATCAAGGTGGCTATTTTAACGTAACACCTTCTGCATCGAATGTATACATCAATACTGGTACTGGTAGTGTCATCCAGCCCAGCAAATCAGCTACTTCGGCTGACTTGAACACTGCCGTTGGCGGGCTCTATACATTCAACACAACTGCTGTTGCATCAAGAGTTGGGATTTCCTGGATTTCCAAGGAAAAGGCGTGCCAAAATGTTAACGACGAGATCCCGAATGATTCCACATTTTCAAATGTCGTTTCTGACACTAAATCTGTTTGGAACGATGAAGTTCTATCAAGAATCACAACTAATTCAACCAATGCGACCAATCTTGGATTGCTATATACATCCATGTATTTCATGAGTCTTCTTCCAACAAATCAAACAGGAGAAAATCCAGGATGGACTTCCACCGAACCATATTATCAAGACATATTCACTCTTTGGGATTTATTCCGTTGTGGTACAGCTTTACTTCACGTCCTTCAACCCACTGTCTATGAAGAATACATTCGCTCCTTGATTGATATTTGGCGTTTCGATGGCTATATGCCCGATGCTCGCTCCTCGAATTATAATGGTCGAACTCAAGGTGGCTCCAATGCTGATAATGTCCTCGCTGATGCTTATGTGAAAGGTGTAAGAGGTCAAATCAATTGGGATGATGGCTACGCAGCCATGGTGAAAGATGCTGAAGTCCAACCTAACAATACCGTTCCACCTGACCCAATGGCTCCGGACTCATCAACAAAGGAAGGACGAGGTGCTCTACCTGATTGGAAACAATATGGCTATATCACTCCGACATATAGTCGTGCCGGTTCTCGAGCAGTAGATTATGCATACAATGATTTTTCACTTTATCAGGTAGCAAATGGATTGGGAAACACAGAAGATGCAGCCAAATATCTAGCTCGCTCACGAAACTGGAGAAACCACTGGAATCCCAATTTGACTTCTATCGGATACTCAGGATTTGTGGTTCCTCGCACAGCAGCAGGTTCTTCAACGCCTTTTGTTGCTGTGGATCCGTTGACTAATAATGGATACTGGGGTGATCCATTTTATGAAGGTAGCTCATGGCATTATTCTTTCGGCGATGTTCATGATATGAATACTATTATTGAATATATGGGAGGAGATTCCACATTTTACAAGAGATTGGAAACGATGTTTACCGTTGGCGCGAATCCTAACAACCCAGGAGGTATTATCTTTGATGGCACAAATGAAGTGTATGTATCTCATGTTCTATATCAATCGAGACAAAAACACTGAAGCAACCAACTAACAAATCTCAGTACATTCAACGTCCCCTACCTCTACAACTTTATCAACAACCAATCTCGCTCGACCTACCAATCCCGAAAAGTAGCCAAAACCTACAACCTCTCTCCGACTGGTCTTCCCGGCAATTCGGACGCAGGAGCCATGCAAACATGGCTCATATGGAATATGCTTGGTCTTTATCCCATCACCGCGACCCCCAATTTCCTAATCACATCTCCCTGGTTCGAATCCATAACTATAGATTTAAGCCCCAGCGGATCTTCCGCTAGCAATCGCAAAACACTCACCATAACCAGTACAGGCGGTGACGGGAATGGGGATTCCAATTACTACGTGCAGAGTTTGAAGGTGAACGGTGTTGATTGGAATAAGAATTGGGTGGTCTGGAGTGATATTTTTGAACAGGGAGGAAGCATGGAATTTGTGTTGGGAAGTGAACCGAGTGGGTGGGATGAAAATGGGGAGAGAGTGCCTAGTCCTGCTTCGGAGACGGCTGCAGGGACGAGGAGGTTTAGAAGAGAGATCTGAGCAGATCTCTGGAGAGTTTAGATGAACGTTGGACTTCTTGTATATATAATTATGCGTTTTAATCACTCCGTGGGCTTGGAGTTTTGATAATGGGATGGAGTGGCCCGAGTGGATGAACATTTCGTTGGTAGCCGTCTTTTCAACCTTTCGTTTCAACAGTATATTTTGATTACTTTCAAATTAATCCCGCAGTCTTCTGGGAGCAAATTTAAATCCCCTTTTTCTTCTTTGGATACAGGTGAAGATTTTCTAGAAACCCTCACATCAAAGGTCATTTCGGAAGGGGGTAGGAGTCTTGGCATTGAGCAATGACTAATCAGAGCAGCGACCTCGTTCCCGATCAGTGCGGATTTCAGTTTGAAACTGCAAACCCTTATACATAGTTTATTGCATGAATATATCGTACGTTGATTGGAAAATTCTTCTACATAACCTCCTCTATATTTCTCAGCTTCGCAACTCTGGTAAGTGTTAATACTTTCGAGAATATTTGTTAAAGACTTAAGCGTGAGCTGCGAATTGATATACATATACATCCCTAGAACCACGACCCTTTACTTCCAGACATGATCAACGAGACAGCACACAACAAAGAGACACAAATGAAAACAAGATGAAATAAACAATGGGTATTGTAAACGAAACATAACACGTGATTACTAGAACCACCGATGGGAAAGCTCATCTCAAACCCAAATAAACAATTAACATTACGCATTCAGACCAGGAACCCGCCTCAGCTCAGACTCTCTTCTCCCTCAGATTCGTCGCAGCGGAACTGTGGTAGATTTATCGGCCGCAATTTGTCCCAAGACACCGCCGCCCACTGCCGCTGCTGGAACATTACTAGTTGCTTTGGCTGCTGCCGCTTTGTATGTCCCGAAGTTTTGGGTTCCATTCCTATATAATCAATCAGTCAAAGTCTACATAGACCAATACGTGGGATAAGAATCTCTTACGATGCATTGATTGTCAATACCATTCCTGCTTGACAATGTTTTCCCTGCGCACAGTACATGAACATGGGAGCTGTACTATTGACAGTCATAGTGAAAGTCGTGATCATGCTCTGATTTGCCGCCGTTGGAATGAAACCACTGTTAATTGCATTGGCCATTGGCTGACACGGTGAATCGAATGCAGATTGTGTGACGGTGTGGTTTCTCTCGTGGAATTGAAATTCCACCGTGTCGCCAGGCTTTGCGGTGATTTCTTGTGGGGTGAATAGAAGAAGTGAGGTGTTGCTTGAACCAACCACAACGGTATGAACCTTTGCGTCTGCAGCACTGGGTGCTTGTGTTGGAACTTGGAGTTTGTTAGCGGCTGAAGCATAGAAATGAGATCCACACAACTTACCACCAGCTACGAGACTAGCTGCCATCAAGGCGATTGTGGAGAATTGAGAGAAATGCATGATGATTTATTTGTTGGTAAGTAACGTTTTATTAGTTTCTAGAAGACAGCATTTAATGGCAAACTATAAAAACAAATGGGATTGTGTATTATATATGCATAGTCCAAAATGGAAGATGACCAGTTCTGGAAGTCCTAGCGTCCACATCAGAAAACTCGCATCAGACTCTCAAGCTTTTGTCTTAGTATTCCAAGCTGAATTTTCATCTGTTCAAGCATAACTGGAGTCTTCGGAGCCGAATCTCAGAATATCTGATGTCAGACTTCATGCGGGAGTTGCTTTACCGTCAGAAAATCTACATCCGGCCAATCCAGTATCGAAAAGCCGAGACTTTATGGAAGCTATCAAATACTGAGACAAGGTTAGAATGAGGAAAGGAGCCTCACATTCGGAAGATTATCCATCTTTGTTGTGTTGCGAAACGATCTAGTGATGTTTACCCTCATGTCTGTGCGAAAAAGAGTCAAGCTTGTGTTTAAATTTGCCTCTCCGCGCAGGAAATGGACGAATCAAAAGTATGGAGAAGCGTTTTGGGTATTCTGAAACAAACCTGCGACTGGGCTATTTCTTCACCAGAGATCGACATACCTTTTTGTGTCATTGAAAAGAGATAACTGCGCCTCGTTGTCTTTACAAATCACTAATGCCGTTGATGCCGTTCTTCCTTCTTGTTGACATGACGACCTTGGCAGGACAAATATCCGATGACAAGCACATCTTGGGAGACTTGGTTCCCAAAGCTGGGACGTTATTGAATGCCGGTCGATTGAAAAATTGCAGTTTGACGTTTCAGAGCAAGAATGTTCATCATGAAGGTGAAGCAGCAGTGTCATTATTCATAGGTATAACCCAAAAACGCATAGCTGGACTGATTTATGCTTAAAACTTACACCCCGAATGTACTTCAAGATCTAAAAAAAGATGTGAAGAAGACAATGACTACAAGCCATATCATCTCTTCCTCCTCCCCGGACTGGACGATTGATAAGTTTTTACTTACCCGGTACAGCTGCGTATTGTGTCATATCCTAGATCGCCAAGTGCAATTCTTGTTCCAAGCATTGTTCTTGCTGGGTGCGCATTTTAAGATGCATGAAAGCTAACGGCTTCTACTACCTACTCGAAATTTATTGCTTGATAGCACAGAGGACTGATATAACCTATCCATCTACCTTTCAATGTTTGAATTTGGCACCTCAGAAGATTCGAGTAGGTACTAACCAATGCCACGAAACTATCCGTTTTTTTTTTGAGCTGTTTGCTAACATCACGCAGCCTTTGTAGGTAGCTAGTACCTACTTCAGACGACTAATAGAATACTCAACCATAAGCACAGGATATACAATAATACGATTAAAAATAGAGGGTGGATGTAACCTCTCAGATTTATGCTATCAAAATATAGGAAATTCGAGTACTCATCTAATGAGTTGGGATATGTAATGTATATGCTGGGGGTCTGCAATAGAAACATCATCACTCTTGACAGTAGATCTTCCATCGAAACCAACCGAATTATGTGGATATCCAATAGCTTTAGAAGTTATAATCCGTCTCGATTTTCTAAAATAGCTTTGTATTCATTTTCATTATAATACAGATAAGTCTTTGTAAATATAGATAAACCATGCCTTCTGATGTGATTAAAAGCACCGTCGCTCTCCTTCGGTAGTCAATATCTAATACACCACAATGTCCAGAAACATTTTTTGTACTCATGCTATACATTACATCGTAAACCAAATGATATCACATATTAATATCTCCAATATCACTTTGAGGTCTCTCACATATCTCTCAGCCTTCCATGTTTGCCCTCCATATTATCAAAATGTATTCACAACCTTAAGGTTACCTAGGTAGGTATTGAATATTGTCACACATAAAATCCATCCCATTCACTCCCCCAAGAAAAAGATAAAAAATGAATGAGATACTCAACCCACTACCTCCAAATTTCGCCACACCTAGAAATGTGTTCGATTCCATCATATCAGATATCCATTACATTGAATATCTATGGTAAGATCTTACAATACGAGATATAAAATCCCATAGCACACATACAATCCCATCCCATCCCCTCCCCCAACCCGAATACGATAAGGTTCCAACCTACCTAGATACTTACCAGCCACGCTCGCCACGCCCAAGCCGCAGGTAGGTAGGCTCGTAGGCTCGTAGGTACCTACCCATGGTTATCTAACCTTTGGTACCTACGATAAGTCTTAACTTAACCTTCATACAGGGATACAAGCCGCACGCATCGGCAGATCGACACGCTAGTACGTTAGTAGCTTAGCACACCGAGTTAATCTTTGTACCTGCACTTTGATTTTTTGGGATAGTGTCCGCGTAGTGCGAGGAGAGGATGGGCAGGTGGGAACTTTGGAATGTTTAAATAAGGTTTGGAGCGGTGTGGCTGGGATGGGGATTTGATTTGGGTATCTAGCTCGATTTTGGATGGCGAGAGGAGTAGGGGAACTCCCGGGCTAGTCTTGATGGTGGGGGTACCGGGAGAGTGGTTGGTTTGCGGGATGCGGCTGGGGATGGGGATGATGAGGAGAGAGCGGTGGGGGTGGGAGGATGTGCTTCGCTGGGTATGTATGTATGTAGATAAGGGGGATAGAGATAGAGGTAGAGATAGAGTTTGAGGTTAGTGGGTTGGGGATAATGGTAATGTTGCTTTGAAATGGAATGGATGCGGTGGCGGGTTGGGTGGCGAGGAGAAGAAAAACTCTATTCCTGTGTTGAGAAGAATAAGAAAAGATGCTTGAGTTTTGTTGGTGGCGATGGTAGAGATGAATTTTAATCTCGTGTTGGTGTTCAGGTAGGTAGTCAGATGTTTCTCGTGGATCCATCTTTCGCGTTTGGATTTTGTCGTGGGATTTTGGGGTTTCTTCGATATGATGTGATACGATGGGATGGGAAAGCCTTTGATGGCTATTATTTGCATGTTATGTTTCGTTGAGCTTTGGTGATTGTTCTTCAGATTTAGCAAGGGATTATGATGAGGATCATATTGACATGCAATAAAATCACCATCTCCCGTCCAAGGTCGTCGCAGGTACCATGCTACCAGAGTTTCTTTTCAGTCACAATATGCACAATGGTCTTCAATATTGCAAGAGATATAATAGAGATAACTTTTGAAAAAATATAAATTCTATAGAAAAAAATATGTTCATGAATCATTAGAAATGTACTTAACCCCAATCACTGATGTGGATGCCATTTATCCCAAGCTATCATGGCATCTAATCCCTTCACCCCAAAAATCTCGCTTCAGAATACAAAAAAATAATAATCAAATGTCAATTCCAATGAAACATTCATTCCCAGGCAACTATGCAAGGATATGATAAAAGTTCTCCAAACACCAGGCCCCAATTGCAAAAATTTAAAGTCCCGAATCAATCTCATCCACAACCGCGGTACTGGAATATGCATCCCATTGCGTGCAGGTCTGCTGCACCGAATTGACAATGGCATCATTCTTAATATCGTCTGGTCGCTCCAAGATATTGGCATACAAGCCTCCGCTAACATGCCACGCGATGTGGCAATGGAAAGGCCAGACGCCCGGGTTGTCCGTGGTGATTTGCCATACCAAGTGACCATTTGCTCGCACAAGTTGCACGTCTCGTCGTTGAGGATTCGCTTGTCGGGTAATGGTGACACCATCCCAGTCTCCGTCACCTTCGTGGAGAATTTGCATGTTGTGTCCGTGCAAATGCATGGGGTGCGATGCGGGAGTAGGGTTGTTTACGACAACGCGAATGGTAGTGTTGCTGCCGAAATTTCGAACGTTCCATTCATCGGGGTAGGTGAAATTGCCTTGATTGGCGAGGGAGAGGATAGGATTGTTATAGTTTGCACGGAAGGATGTTCCGCCGAGGGTCCAGAGGAAACTTCCGGTGTCATTGACGTAGGAGCCAATATCGAGGTTTTGGGTTGTGGAGGATGTTTCTGCTGCGAGAGAATAATAGGGTTCGGTGGTGTCTAGCTCATCGTTTGTGCAAGTTCCTGGATCTGGAACATCCCACGCTGTACTTGCTGGAGTCGAGTTTGTGTCGGCGCCGTCGTAATAGATTGCTGCAAGAGCATTTGGTTGATTGGACAAAGAACACGTTGTGGATATGTTTGATCTCATCCAGAATGACGAGTCAGATGTTCCAACATTAGCGGTGACAAGAACATCTGTTCTTTGACCAACTGCCAAGGTGACAACATTGGTGGTATACGGTTTCTGCAATAATCAGTATATGTCCCAGTAGTAATAAAAGGTTGCGGTACTTACAACTGGTACGAAATCATTGGCAATAACAACCATCTTATGTCCATCGATACTGAATCTTTGCATTCCCTCAGCACCGGCATTGATCAATCTCAATCTGTGTGTTTTTCCAGTGGTGAACTTGAAACGAGAGATACCAGCGTTATCAGAGCATGCGGTGTTATCTCCTGCAGCTTTCGTAGAACAGTCGAAGTTCATCTTTCCATTGATGAGATTGTTGTCTGAAAATGGTTTAGCATCCCCATTGCTCTCGACAACCGATTTGACTATCGAGAAGTAATCCTTGTGATAATAATCGGTTAAGAAAACTGGTCCAAGATCAATGTCATAGGGTGCGTTTGCAGGGCCATGGATAATCATAGGTCCCACAAGTCCACCTGTATTGATGTTAGTATAGAAAAGGAATGTAAAGACTTTTGTTCTTACCAGCATATTGAGCAGAGTAATGCGAATGATACCAGGAACTTCCATAAAGATCGGCTTTGAAAGTATACGTGAAAGAAGCTCCAGGGGCGATAGGGCATTGTGTTACAGCAGGGACACCATCCATGTATTGAGTTCCCTTTTGCAACAATCCATGCCAATGGAAAGCTGTTCCCTCCTCAGGTCCAGTGATTTGATTGTGTACTGTAATCACGAAAGTATCACCCCAATTTGCCTCAATCGCAGGTCCAGGAAATTGCCCATTGACAAGTATGACGTCTTTGGAATAGCCATCCGGGGCAATTGTGCCTCTCGTGACAGTAAAATCGTAGGATCGAATAACTCCGGTGTTAGGAGCTGATGTGTATGGGTTATTCCCACTTGCAGTCAATGAACCCCAGGGATATCCATTAGGAAGAGGATTATCTGTGAGGAAGGGAGGAAAAGTTGGAGCTTGTAGAGTTCCCCAAACAGAATTTCTAGACGGAGAGTCAATAATCAAACCACTATAGCATAGAAATTCCTCGACTCAAGGACTGAGACTCACCCATTAGTTGCGGATTGAGATAAAGTGTTAATAATTCCGGCACCGGCAGTAAAGATGCCAGCGAAGAGACCGAACCAAGTCATTTTGAAATGACTGTCGCAACAAGATTAAACGAAAGACTGTGAGATGGTATGTAGATATCGATTGTAGATGTGGGCAAGTGGTGATACTATATAGATATGAAAAAAAGCTTCTGAAGCGCCCATCATTTCCCGGAGCGCTAAGTCGACGAAGATTTGCTCTAGTATAGTATTGCACAGACTGAACTCCCCGTGTAACTTAAAAAAGATCAGACACTCCCTACATTTTATTTGGGGCTTGACGTCTAGCGTAGAGTGATTGAATAATTCTGTACTTTGTCATCATGGAAGAGACTGATGTAAGCCTGGGGTATAATTCGTTCTAACTTTGGACACATCTAGCGTGGATCCTAGATACCTATGCTACAACAACAAAATACGGGAAGAGGTTCCTCAGAAATTAGCCTGCCTTCCCAATAGAGTTGGAAACATGAGAAGCATATTCTGTGCTGCGGCAATTTGCCTCCAAACTCTGGTATAAAGTATGAAATTTGAGTTAGCATTATCGAGTACCGACATCTTACCTACATTGTACCTACATAGTTCCTACATAGTATCTAGGTACATGGTCAATAAAGGTTGTGAATGGTGCTTTGCAGATAAGGTTACCCGGAGATCCACTCCGCTCCACAAACGAAAAACGCATGGACGGTACCGAGTGGCACTAACGAGATGTGATGAAGGGATAATATAAGACGGCAAAAAGACTAACCTTAAGGAAGCGAAACTAATCGACTTTCCGCCGTACTCTGTATATTAGAACTTTCTAATTTGAAACAAAATCCCTTGGATCCGGAAAGAAGAGAAAGGGAAAAAACCAAAAGAAAAAAACCAGAAAAACCCAAAAAACAAAAGATCCCTCTCCTTGGCTTCTTATTTGATTTGAAGGATCAGAAGGATCATTTAGGGCGATCCACTCCGTATCCCAATGTGAGAAATCTCGTTTGTGTACAATGACCATTCCCGTATGTATCTCGAACAATATTCCGATAACCAGTTGATCACTGTTCAAAAGGGGACTAGTGTAGATCTTCATGATGTTTCGAAACAAAGTCATGTCCAGATTTGGTAGTGGGTACCCAAGCAAAGATCAAGACTTACATTGAGTATTGAATAATGCTATTTGTATCAGGTACCGAGGTATCAACCCACATCTCTGGGCCTCGATTCTATGCGATATATCATGTAAACAGAAATCATATTGCAGTCGAGTAGTAAAGAGGATATTACTAACCATGATGTGTTTCATGGTTTATTTGTATACAGTGATCTGTTGCTAGCCGTGATAACGTGAGGACCCGTGCAGAGGTCAGCGTTGTGTTTGATTAGCTGGAGGACCTGGTGGTAATTGAGCCTGTTGATGATTTGAATTCAGTATTGACACGAGGAAACCACGATTAATGGTAGAAGCCTCAAGGAATAAAACCGTGATAGGAGTACATAATACATCTTATTGAATCCAGTATTGGACATCAATTGGCTACAAGAAACGTGGTCGTTTATTATTAGTACACAACGTCGTGGTTTTCGCATGTAGTTCCAAATCGTTAGCTCACGTAAAAAAGGAGTTGTGAAAACTTCCGCTTTCAATAGTAATACACAATTGATGAAGTTTGAAGAATCATCATGTTGTCATTCGTCGCTTCCTGTGTCTTACCATCATAGATAGTCTTTTTACGGTTCAATTGGTTCTAGAACTAGAGGGTGCAAACATGTAGATGGATAATAGTTTTCTCTCTTAGTTATCTCAGACGTGCCAAGCGAAGAAAAATACTTACTTCACGCTAGGTAGGCATTTTGCCCAAGGAACAATCTTAAATCGGAAAATATTCTTAGTTGGCTCGGTTGGACAAGTACTCCGTAAGAATGATCACTTCCCGACGGAGCGTCACTGCTGATCTTTCGATGGATACAATTGAGTTCTGATATTTTTCGACAATGATAATCAAGTTGTACGGACATCTTACTTCCCGAAGCGATGTTGATGTTGCCAAATGAGTCGAATATTGATCAGGTTCTCTTCAAAATTCTTGTTGGTTCAACAAGCGTAAATGAGATTGATTCAAACATTTGCTCGATGAATCTCAGCCGAAGCCAACTCGATTGTTTAGATGGTAACGTGTCATTGCTCAAGGCAGTTAGTCAAAGTGAGGTTTCACCATGAGAACTGAAGGGCCGAGTACCTCGCCCAGTGGCGAGTGCCTACCTATCGACACCTGGGCAGCCCGAGAGCTAAGTCGACGTCAGCCACAAAGCGAAGCACTTGAATTAAGTGGTTCGTGTGGATGAACAAGCATGATTCGTCTGATCAAGACTTTATAAACCTTATGTTCTTTGCTGTACCGAGGCATACAATTTCACTCCGAGAGGGTCTTTCGATACGCCTTATAGTGGCTAGGGGTCCATCATCGAAAGCACCGTCGGATTTTTAAATTTTAGGAATTGGGATTGGCATCTAAGATCAAACTCATATCCTGCCATAGCCATGGTTCCTTGATGGTTTGTAGTACATCAACCTAATAAGACTTCGGTTTCCGTTCACGCCGAAAGGAATATAATTCATCAGTACGGCCGAAAGCGCGATCTTGGGCGAGTATATACGTCATGTCGAGAACAAATATTAAACAATTTCACCAAGCCACTGCGTCTGTCCCATATGACTTCAAGAATGCGATTGCGAATCCGTCAAGAATGAGTGTCTTCATCAAGAGTAAATGATACTGTGAACATAATTTAGATCCAGAGCCCTCATCTAATCGTTGAATATCTCCTAAGGAAGGCCAAGATAAGAGGTCAAGAGCAGCGCTTGCATAGCTTGCCCCTTCATATGATCGAAGTCGCAACATAAAACACGAACGCTCCATGGCCATCTCACGTTAGTGGCTAGCAAGGCATCCAAGCCTTTTGGCCACAACACAGGATTCAACCTTTCATGACACCGATGAACCAGTGATAAAGTAGTAAGATTCGTTTATTGTTGAATTGAGCTCATCAGGAGGCTCGAGTAAAAGAAAAACGCTGGGCGAGGCTTTGTTAAAACAGTTTGCCCCCATTAAACTCCACCCCTATGCAAACAGTTGAGCGGCGAGACCCGAGGATCGACAATTGAAATGTCTCTACCCATTATGTATAAACATATGCCTTAAATTACAAAGCATTCGCCAGGTTCCATCTTCTCCAAAGATAGAAGATGGGCTTTCCCTTCCGACTCTACAGTCGAGCATTTTTCATTATGATGTTCGCGAAGGACGATATGGTCGATTCATAACCAGAGGACGTCGGTTTGCACGGCCGAATGCTGCCAATGTTTCTGGAGATGCGATACTATCGGAACGGATGGTACTACCAATGGCCATGAAAAATCTGAGTGCCAACTCATTAGCACATTGAAACTGATTTAACAGAAAGGAATGATGATAAATACCCGAAAGTGGACCCGGAAGTGAGCATATATGTGCGTAGAGTCCTCCAAACTCCATTGGGTCCAGGACCAAATTTGATGATAGTAAGTGTGCCTTGGCCTTGTCAGAATGGATTCTTTTCATGCCTCCTCCAGCTTCAACATACCGTACATAAACCCCAAAATAGCGCCGACAGCTGTTATTGAACGCAGTCAGTAACTTGCATATATGAACGAGATCATGATCGCATACTGCCACCCATCATAGCTCCCATCTGAACTATAAAGCATGCATGGTCAGTAAAAGTCCTAGAGAGAGGGGTAAAACCACAGCCTTACGCTTATTCCAGATAGTTTGGCCACCGGGATGGCCTTGAGTTTGTGGTACTGGAGGCATATTTGGCGATTTCAAAGGATTTTATTTGATGTATCTAGTACCGCGAAGTTGTAGGGCTCATCAACTCATATATCGCAGCTTCGAGCTTTCAAAGTTTCAAATGTTCAAATCTACCTACTAAAATGTAAAATGATCACGGCATTTACCGAAAGCATAGACCATACATACACAAGGAGACAAGCACTATATTCCCCCACATTCTCAACACATTGTGGCCTTAATACCTAAGGCACAGAGGCGAAAAAGAATCATGTGTATCACGTGATAATATTCATAATCCAATGATGTTCACTTAGAAAACTGGAATTGTTGTAGTGGTTCATACTAAAAACACCCTATTCGTAGGTAGACAAAAGAGTCTTTTGCGAAAGCTTTATCGTAAGATAAAATGATTAATTTTTCATGATATCCAATCTCTTCCTCTTGACCTTTCGTTTCTTCTCTTCTCTCCTCTCTCTTCACCCATCAAAGACCCTTTTGTATCTGCAAGAGAGCGCGTGCGCAAGTGCTCTTATCCCCGATCTCGAACTCTGGTTGGCTAAACATAGACCTCGCGTGTCTCAACCTGAATGTCCAAACTTTCCACCTTGGCAACATCAAATTGAAATAGGTTTCCTTTTCTACCACCAGCAATTGTCCTACAATACCTGCATTGCATAGATGTAAGTGTTCTTATTCTTTGCCTCAATCACAGAGTCCACTTTGTATGATTCTTGATGCATTCCAGTTTTCTTTGCGCTCCCTTTCTCGACCATCTCGTCACTCGTCATCATGGCGCCAAAACTTTGTGGGCATCTACTAACGATCATCATAACTTCCAGTGCGATACGATACCTCTTCCATCCAGTTTATTAGATAGAGAGTTGCGGACATTTAGCATCCACAATATAGACCAGAGGGTCATCGAAGCGAAGCATCTTTGTTGCAGTTGAGGTTGAATGGGGGGAGGAAAGCAACAACATTCCAACGATCTTATTCAATCAACATCGTCAGGGATAAACCTATCTACTGTGAAATACGGCCGATAATCAGTTTAACCGATGACGGCAGTCGCAAATCCACCAAGTTTCCCGCAGATCAACAGGTCGGCATGGGGATCTAGTGTTAACCAAGGAGGAATGAATGCTATTAACGGCGACGAAGTGGGCAGAATGTTTATGCCACGAAAAAGCGCTCAGCGTGCCAACTCATCTTCGTCGATAACTTCATTATCTTCAATTTCTTCCACTTCATCCAACTCGACGGTATCGCAACAGGCACCGCAGACTAATGGCGTACCGATGTCCTCGTCTAATGAATCAACCAATTGGGGTACGGCAGCGGCACGGAAGAAGGTCCCAAGAGTGCAACCGCCATGGACCAATAAATCAGACTCGGCCCCTGGTTCCCACACGACACGGCAACCCCCATCGGCCTTGACAAATGGAAATTCTGGTTCATCTATGACTCCATTGCATCAGCCGGCTCCCATGGTACCATCCCAACATGTTACACCAAATGGATCACAGCCGATCAGACCCCAGGGCCAACCTACGGAAGGGGAGCCAATGCTTTACTTGTTATCAATGAACGGCACCTTTGATCACAAGAGGATATCAGTACCCTTCTACCCGGATAGCTTGAGGATTGGGCGTCAGACAAATGCTAAAACAGTACCATCGCCTGCGAATGGATTTTTTGATTCGAAGGTACTATCGAGACAACATGCAGAGATTTGGGCAGATCGTAGTGGGAAGATCTGGATTCGAGATGTTAAATCATCAAACGGTACCTTCGTCAACGGAGCGCGCTTATCGGCCGAAAACAAGGACTCAGATCCGCATGAGTTGCAGTCGCAAGACCATCTCGAGCTTGGTATAGACATCGTTAGCGAAGATCAAAAGACTGTCGTACATCACAAAGTCGCTGCGAAAGTCGAACATGCAGGTTTTGCGGGCTCAACTAATAATGTTCTGGATATGAGTTTTGGTGATTTGAATCCTGCGAATGGATCAATGATGTTACCATCTCAAGGTCCCATGATGAGGGGAAGAACTGGAAGCCAAAGCTCAATGAGTAGTAATGGTCGCGTGGGACTACCGGGTAGCGTAGCTGGGAGTCAAATGAGCGTGATGGGTCAGCAACGCCCGATGAATTTCTGGTTAACACCCGTTACAACAGAGCAGATTGTGAAGAGGCTTTCTGTAGGTTCATATATCTACATGCATAATCCATTTTGACTGACATACAATTTAGCACGAGATGCGAACAGCCCGATTGCAAAATTCCGACCTTGGGCGAGCAGACAACTTTTTTGGCGGCCTGTTATCGAAAGATAGTGTGAAAGAACTTGAGAGTGCTCCAAATGTAGAACTAAAGCCTTCAGCAAACGGTTCCGCTTTATCCTTTAGGGCTGAAGGAAAACCTCGATTTTCTGATCCTCCCGCGCCGCCGCCCCAACAACCTCTTCCTGAAAAGCCAGATGTTGCCCGTTCTCACAACTTTGATCCCTCTTCACCTACTGCCTCTTTGAGAAGATCCAATACAGAAAAGCAGAGGTCTTTAGCGAATGGTTCTCCTGTAAGAGAAGTCAGTAGTCAAATAATCACGTTGGTGGAGGCATTGGCATCGGCAAAGAAAGAGATCGACTCTCAAAGTGCTCGGATGCGGGACTTAGAGGAAATGCTTCAGAAGGAACGACAGGCACGAGAAACTGCGGAAGAGATGGCGAAACGATTGGAGCTCCACACACCGGACAAAAACTTGAACGGAAGTGCCAGATCTGGGATGGAAGGTTCAATACTTGAAGATGCTTTTGAGCCACCCTCAGATGATATTTCATCACAAGAGAAAGCCGATATACAAGTGGACGCTACTGGCATTGCCGACTCATCTCGTCTGTTGGAACAGCGCCTTGAAATCATGGTTTCTGATATGCAGGAGCTGCGATCCCAGATGGAGTCATATAAGAAAAGAGCAGAAAGCGCCGAGGGGGAGAGGGATACCGACCGAAAAACCTTAGCAGAGATGATTGAAAAAATTCGTTTGGATGAGCAACTGAGACAACTGTCTTCCGACCGTTCCCGATCTCCATCGAAGCAGGCTTTTGAAAAACATGTCAACGGGACTGCGAATGGAGGCGATCTGGCACTGCATCCCACAAGACGACCAAATGGTTTGAAACATACCTCATCGGAAAATGATGATCTTCATGCATCGCTCACACGTGCGATCGCTTCAAAGAATGTCAAACACGATCCTCTATTATACCACTCGACACCTTATGTCTCGATGCTTGGCGTTGTCATGGTTGGTATGGGGTTGATGGCATATCTCAACGGTTGGTCACCATCAAAAGCGGACCAATAAACCGCACAATCTTTTAATACACGTTTTCTTTTATGTTCGAATCAAGCGCAAATACCATTCACGCGTCATACATCGGGTCATCGAGACCAAACCTCTGTATTTAGTCTCTTTTGTAATTTTCACGGGGTCCGAAGATTGTTTAGTTTTGCATGTGGGCGTTGTGGGGTTGCGGGATTGTTGGAATCGTGGCATTGGGGCAAGCGGGCATGGGCAAGCGGTAGGGGCACAACAATACCAAGATTCTGGTTTCGTTTGATTGTTTGAGGGGAAATGGATAGGTTCATCCATATACATATACCAAAACGGGTTAGGGAATGGTATGGACGCTTGAATGGGTTGAATGGCCATTTATCACTTTGGTAGAATAATTCCTTACAGTTGTTGACGATAGCACAAAGTGGACCCGTTACTGGCACTTTCGATATTCTGAAAATGTTCAGCTGAAGTGGACACTTGAGGCTCTATCGCTTTTCTCCTTTTTTTTCATTTCTCTCGTGTTTTTCTTATGCATGGAAATAATTTGCCCCAAATTAAACTTGTGGGTCATGAATAGCCTTTCTCGTGTCTTGCAGACTCTCAGTCAACTCTTTATCGGACGCTATGTGCTTCTTGGGTTTATCAATCAGAAACTCTGAAGTCTGTACTACTAGGCCTCTGATAGTATGCATTATGTTCCTTTCTATTAATACCTTGACTGCAATAAAAGCACTACAAGCTATGAGAGATATCATCTCCAATGGCCCCAAATCGAGTTTAGAAGTCCGGTTCGAAGTGTTTAGATGTATTCTGAATGGATGCGAACTAACAACATATGTATGTGTTATATTGGCCGGATGATCGTTTTGTTGTCTGGAAGTTTTGAGACTAATTAATTTGAAATGCCAGATAATATAGTTGAAAGTCAGGTTGTATGTTCTTTGAACTGGACATTGATATCGGGACAGGTGAGTTGATTGGTATGGATTCAATGTATGATTTTAGTCAAAGTTTAGTTTACGGCTCTGCTATACAAGGCCCCTCAGGACATACCTTGAATTCGTCTTTCCAAGCGAATCACTGTTGAATTCCTCTCACGGACAAATACCAACCTGTCTTGACGCGGTTCTTGTGGTGGGACTTTTGTGAGGTTTATGAAGAAGGTGCGTAGCGTGATTGTCCATGGTAACAATGATTCATTCAAGGCAAGCGCTTTCGATCACACACCATCTACAATGAATTGTGACTTGAAATCGATTGAATCGACGTACACATTGCAGATATCTGTTTTAGCTAAACAACATTTTTCTTCCATCATTATCATCATTGTTTTGCGATTAGCATTTTGGGCGCGCGCAGAGTCGCATTTCAAATGAAATCAAAAAAGATCAAATACACTTATTCCAGGGTTTGGAGAAAAGCTTTAGAGAGATCTTTGAGACCTATGTCGGCTCAAAACAAAAGTATTTTTGGCGCAGAGTTCCCGGTAAAAGAACCAAGTCCTCATTTTCAGCACGAGAGAACAATGGCTGTTCATATGATAGATGTGCCTGTGACCAGAACATCATCTACTCCTGAAGCTTCCAGTCAACGGACTCCCCATGCGCTCACACCCCCGCCGTTCAATTACACACAATACATGGAAAGCTCGTTTGATGAATCCAGCCATGCTGGCTGTAAACCGGAGAACATCGAGGATACATTCAACGTACCTTACGGTGTTGATGCTCAGGGCAACTGGTATGGTGATGTGCCAACCCCAGGGGCTCATACAGATGAATACATGGGTCGTGCAGAAAATTTGTTCAAGGAACCAAACTCTTCTGATGTCCAGCGCGACGAAAACAGAGAGAAACATCTGCCTTCTTCTCAATCTGATCATTCTGATCTTTGGCACGCACCTACTCCGGGCAATCATGATAGTGCAGAGGTGGAAACCAACGAAACCCCTTTAGATGAGCCGAATGCTTTCAATATGCAAGACACTTACACTATTCTTCCGCCTCCTACCCCTCCAAATATGAGGCCTGATTCTAGCCAATGGGATAGCAAAGTAGGAAATACAGTATGTTACAACCCGCTCAATGGCAGGTCCAGTTTCTCATTCTTCTTAGGACCCAGAAGTCGAAACTCCGCAGAATATACTTCGATTAAGCGTTACTAAGGGCTGTGAAAAGATTGAAAAAGATTGTCAGGCTGGGAACCTACCAGAGAATGTTGCTAACAGAGCAAAATACCTTTTGAAAATGCTCTCCCAGGCTGTTGCAGAATTCACTTATCTTCATTTGGACGAAACCATGAATAAAGTCCTAGCAGTCCTTGTTGCCTGTTGTATCTATATCGCCTGTCAACAGTGCAAAATCCCCCGAACCTTCATTGCAATTCGGGTGCTCACAGAAACTTCTTCGCTGGAATTCAAACAGTCTGTTCGCAAATCTTTTGAGATCATACAGAAGTATATCTTTGAGACTAAATGCTCTTGCTTGAGGGCATTCAGTATGTTTCCATGTCGAAGTATTCAACAATGATATATGCTAACGGCTTTAGGGGCATCTTCTGAGGGATGCTGTCAGATATGCCATAGGCTGTATAAAAAGGATGTCGTGAGCAGAATCTCTGAGTCACTAGCGTTCTGCATAGAATGTTCGGGTGCATATCACATGAGTTGTGTAACATCACTCAGTGCGACGATTCCGACCCCCGACCCTAGCGGCTTAATTTGTCGACGATGCGTTCCATGTATTATTCATCCTGACGTTGAACAAAATCCAGGAAAGCCAACAGAGAAGCGTTTAATAGCCGCTCGCAATAGTGTTAGTGTCAAATCCAATGATGGCGACAATATTGAGAAGTCATTCAAATTGCGCGACGATCGATCCCAAAGCCCAGACTTAGTAAGGGGAGATCTCAAAGCCAACTCAATAGACAATAAGATGATAAAATGGCTTATGAAACGTTGCAGGAATCTCCAAAAAAGACAAGATGAGGACATTGTAAAAGTTCTCGCCTCTGTCCAGCAAGATTTTCTGGCACGAATTGAGAATGCAGAAAATGCGACAATAAGACTACTAGAGCAGAATTACCAGGCACCCCGGATTAAATTGGGCAAGGCACAAGAAGTCTACTTGTGTGCTCTTCAAACCGAACTGTTACAATGTAATCTACAGTCTAATTTGGAAAACTTCCTCGCGGGATTACAGCAAAAAAACAAGACGAGTGGATTTAAAAGAAACCGCAGTATTCTTGAGCCGTCGGATGAAACTTGCGAAGAATTCAAGACCGCTCTTGTGAGCCGTCACTCTGAAACTGCTACAGGAGGATCCGCAAAATATGCCGACAGGTCCTCGGAACCTAGAAGGGGAGATTCCCCGCAGCATTTTCAGGTTGCTTCAGCAGGACCTCAGCGCTCATCACGATACGAGCTAGGCTCCGAATTAGAGGAGGGTGACACTCAAGAGCATCCAGAACCTAGGTCTCGGAAATTTGAACCTGGTATGAGAAATGGTCAACAAAGAAAAGCTAAGAGAGCAAGAATTGACATGCAAGAACAGATGTCGCAAAGTGCCAGTCAGACCGCAGCTCCAAAAAAGTAGATCAAGCAAGAGCTAGCGTAGATAAGCTATCAAGATATAGCAGCATACATGGAGAGAGTTGATGGATTGGATGATGTCAACACAGCCAAATATTGGGACATGCACATGTCAGAGATTGGATGCTAAAGCACTTGTTGCTAGATTGTTTTACATTAATTGGACATGATCGACGCAACTGTTCAGCGCATAACGTATTATTAGAGGAACTATTGGAAAGTTATTTGGATTATAGATTCAGTTGTTTTGTGACTATCATCCCAGAGGCCAGAGCCTTATAACCGTCATGGCTGGATTAAACCACATGTTCACAGCATACGCATTAATCAACAAAAGACACTTTGTTGAATTTTTCAAAACGGGAATTGACATTTCACTGATTGATATTGAATGAAATCACAGCTAAAATCTCTCCTGTACTCGATTGTTTCAAACATGTCACCGAAGCCTCTTCCAGTAGCATCAACCAACGCTAGCATTCGTCCCATCTTCTCAAACTTCATCGCCTCCTTGATTCTCTCAGCCCTCCATTCACGAGTATTCTAGATTATTTCTTCATTTCTCTTGAAAATTTCAGCAACACTTTTCTCACTTTCCTCCTTGTAATTTTGATATAGAACTCTCATCTGATTCATAGGGAAATGTTTCTGTTGGTTTCAACTGATAGTTGATAAGCGTAAGGTACTTTAGTCTAATACTTCTGTAGTATTGCTTGATTATTATTAACTTTAGGAAGCTAGTACTTATATAAGGAAGCGCTAGCGCCTCCTTGGCTAATACAGTGCCCTCTTACGATCACATGGTTCATATCCTGATAGTATCTCAATTCGCTCAGCAGTAGGTCCCACAGTCGGCGCACCATCAAGAACAATAAGAAACGTCCGCTCATCGATTATCTTGAAATAAATAACAGGCCGATGAAGAGTAAAGGCAGTATGGGAGCAAAAGCCCTGTTCCTCGGTAAACTTCTTCATGTTAACTTCTGTGAGGTCCCTTATCTCTGCCATGTTGCCCCATCCTTCCTCTAGTCGCTGGTGGAGTTGTTTAGCTCTTGTTATAGATGGAGCTTCTTTCACTGACAGAGACCGCAGTTTATCCTCATATCACGCTATCAATAAGTCGTTCACGGCATTCGAAAACAAGATTTTTCTGCATTTCTCTTCCGCCCTAGAGATCGATTTCCGCATTTCTTTTCTGATGTTTGACAACTGGAGTCGATAGATCTCAATTGTCTCGGCTTGGTCTTTGTTTTCTTTCTCCAGAGCTGCATTATCATCGGATAGTTGCTGGAATCTTGACATGGCTGCACTGGACTCCGAGCTCATTTGTTCAAGTCGTGATTCGAGTCTCTTAATCTCTAACGATTTGGCCAATAAGGCTTTTCTTATGAATGCCATTGCGTTGTCAACATCGTCGTCAACATCACCCCGCTCTGAAACATTGGTCCTTGCTCTTTTATTGCCTTGAAGAATGTTAAATCTAATCATTTATGATATGAGATTCCTGGCATCCGTGTGCACTCACGATTGGTCCTCAAATTTACCATTTCATCTTTTGGGGGAATCAATGGTTTCCGGTTTGAAGGGGCTGGTTTTGGTAAAGAATTCTACACGAGATGTTAGAACTACGGAGTATTGCAGACAGCCTGAGATGAAATTCACCCACCATATTTCCGACCGATATCGACAAGATCTAATCTTTTTGCATGCTGGGAGTTCGATGAGGGCTATTCTATATAAAGTCTCCGATTCTTAATACTCAAGAAGAAGGGGTGAGCGAAAGCATCAAGTCAGATGAGAAGCAGGCGTTTGTATGTTACACAAATGGGATCCAATCAATAGTGATTCTTTTTCTGATAGGTGATAACATCTACTCCCCAACAATTCTGCTGGCTATCAATAACGGGGGGGTTTGCAAAGAGATCCGAGCGTATTATTCAACCAATCCCGCCGTGATTCTATGCGGATTGCCGAGAAGTCTGAAGCCTGAAGGCTTTCAAATTGCGCACATTGATCAATCGGGAGAGGTAGCGATATCAACCGGCATTAGCCAGGTTACCTAACTACAATCAATGAACATAATGTTCTTAGAATTGCAGGTGAAGTTGTTCACCGAAAAACGTGGAGCTAAAATTGCGTTTACATTCGAAGTCAAGAGGCGAATGCTCCACCTTACTCTGCGAGAAAATATAGCAACTCCTACTTCTGCTACTGTTTAATTTAGTGATGAATACTCCTACGCAAAAGCCCAAACGTTCATTCTGTGAGTCGAACTCAGAACAATATATTTATTATGGTCCGGAAAAGGAAGAGATCAGAGGCAACGAAAGAAGGAGGCGATAAAGCAAGAATGCGTCTCAACACAAATGATCAGAGTACCAGCAAATGTAGGAGCTCAGAACCGTATGTGAAAACATATTTGAGAAAATGGCTAATCTAACTATCTGTAACTCAGCTCCAATCTTGAATAGCCCAGATACATTTAAATCGACCAAGAATAATATCCCTGCGCTGCCAGATTTAACTTCGTCTTGTATCTACGATGAAATCAACTCAACCACAGGTGATATTATAGACTCGACCAAGAACAATATCCCTGCGCTGCCAGATCTACCTTCGTCTTGTATCTACGATGAAATCAACTCAACCACAGGTGATATTATAGACTCGACAAAGAAACGCGACGAACTGCCACGTATTAGAGCCGGTATGGTCTAGAGAGTAGCATTTCACTTCATAATCCTCAGAAAATACTTAATAACTCATTCAGACGTAAACAGACGATTGATCGAATTCTCGAGTAAACTGAACGAAGTCAAAAGATTGTGTGATATTTTCAGAAAAATACTGTCGCTTATTGGGATTCGAAAACAGAATTCGGCGCCAAGTTGAACGCTGTCGCGACGGAAATAAGAGATTTCTACGGGGCGCATAGAGAACAAACAAGATCGTCCGATGAATTTCTTGCAAAAATGGATAATGATATTGCGAGGTTGAGAGAGCCGACTGAGGAGGTAGATGAGATGGCAAGCCTTGTTAAAAGGAATATGGAGTTGGAATTAAAGGTGTACATGCAATCTACAAAGCTAAAAAAGCTTGAAGGTTGGAGTGTGGAGATGCGAAGGATGGTGAGCAAGTGGGATGCTGAGTAATGAGCTGGTATAGCTTACTCCTGTTTGATCTGCTAATGCATGGCAATGATGGGTTCTTGTTCTATTGAAAATGAAGTTGTTCCTTTGATAATGGTCTTTAGTGATGCGATTTCTATGGCTATGTTGCCCAGGACTTACGTGCTTGCTCTTCCCATTTTTAGTTCTCCAGTGAGTGCATGGACTAACAGAACACTACAAAGAATTGACCTATAAATATCTCTTAATATATCAATTCGTAAATCTTAGAAATTGTTACAATTGTTCATTGGAGATGCAACAATGCAAGTGTGAATTCTAACATCAAATAATCGAAGAATGAATTTGTCAAAGATTTTGAAAGTTGAGAAGTGTCCCGTCAGTTCATGCACCCACTGGTGGACATCGCTCTTTCCACTTCCAAATTGCTGCGGGTTGCCACTAATCGATACAGATGCATATTTTAATTCTAAATTCCCCCTTCCTAACATGCAAGAAACAGGAAATCAAATCATCATTTTTTGCATTTTTTAATTCAGTGGAATACTTACCCCAATATCGATTTTGATTTATAACTTCAGAGCCCCAGATATTCCTACCCTTCGATTTCGCAACTACGAAATATGCCGTCTGCAAACGCGGAAAGACGTCGTCCCGAACAAAAATCCAGTAACGGTCTCGATGGTGAACATGCACGAAATCAAGCGGGTGTTTTAGAGCTAGACTATGGCTCACCGGCTCGGAGTACACAGTTTCCTAATCGTACGTATCACGGATTTAAACTATGTTACTACGCTAACACGGCGAAGTCTCCAAAGGAAGCGATACAGAAATGGAGGAAACGAGAGACGATATTGACGAAGCAATGCGGAGACGTCATGTCGCGAACGAAGAAACCGACGAAATTGTTGAGAAGCTAAAAAAGAATGTAGATACTTTCATAAAGAAGATCTCCGCTTTAGAAGGCCTGCTTCGTGATGAAAAGGCCATGGTAGAAAAGTTGCAAACAGATATGGCCGAGAAAACCGGAGAACACCAAACTATCCAGGGATTTATGTCGATTGCAAGTCAAAGAGCACAAAAAGAGATACACGAAAAAGTGCAGCTTGAAGAAAAAATCATCAAACAAAAAACCGAAATCAATGATCTGACAGCTGCAAGGCAAGATCTTCAGAGACGCCTGAACGAAGCGAATCGAAAGTTAAGTGTCGAGGTCGAGAATGGAAAAAATCTACAATCAAAATTCACTGCTGAAATCGCCAAAACCCATTTATTGCGAGAAGAAAAGCATACACTGGGAGAGGAGTTGGAGGATAAGAAAAAGCTGCTAGATAAACTTCGTGGATGGTTCAGAACGATTAAAGCGTGTGCGAATGATAAAACGCTCGATAGCTACCTAGCTTAACTCGGGGGTTGGGTTCACTAAGTAGCGGGAGTTATAGCGATTAAGCGAAAGTAGTTTGTTAATAATAGCCTTGAAAGTTTACTTCAACGATCATCCTTTTTCTTGCAATTCTTTCGTAATCTATTTAGTCCCCCTCAACAAAACCTACACATACACAGAGGTGTAAGCTAGTCGGACCTCAGTCTGAAAAGCTTTGTATTGGACCCCCAATACCTTCTTCCTTTCTCAAAACAATCATAAAATCGACCCTCGCCCCCTCTCCCCTCTCATTGCAGCGGGCCCAAATCGACTGCAGGAACACAATGTGCACCATAACTTCTCATTCGAGGGTTCGCGTGAAACAAGTGCTTATACCGGGCTTGGAGCCAGGAATATCTTCATTACTAAATTGGTCGACACTTGCACGCACTTCGTCTTACCTCGCCGCATACAATTCAAGAATATATTCACCAATATCGATGCCCATTCTCAGAACTCATAAATTTACTACGAGGGGAAAAAATGCTATGACAGGGGTTGCTTTAATTACTTGAAAAACTAATTTATAGCAGGAATCGATCACCACTATACGCAAACATTTATGCATACCTACCCATCACTATTAGGTGAGTACCTCGCCTGCCTCAGAACGATCCAAACAATGAAAAGGTAAGAAAAAAAAAATTCCAATCACCACAAAAGAAAAGTATAAGAAATTGCAAACCCACTGACAAAATCACCAAGCACACTAATGCCCATAGCTCCAAAGTCAAAAAAGATTGCATCATGCACAAGGGTATTTCTATTATACGACTTATCATCAGTTAGTATATCTATTTATATCTTTCTTTATAAACCAAAATTTCATCTCATCCATAAATATCCACCGTAGATCTCCAGCCATATACACATATATCCGATGCAATCAGATAGATAACCTTCGCCGTCCTCATCTCTCAGTTCAAAAAATCTATCCAAAACGCCCGCCAGAATCTGCTGGCATTCAATGCACAGATAATCCGTATCCCTTTTATCCAATAACGCCCATATGTAACGAAACCCTATGTAACTGTCTGCTGACACACGAATATATACATCCCCTAAATCCAGCAAATCTATATCCAGAAAGATTTGAAATAGAGAAGACAGCAAATAGCCCCTCTCCTAGAATATAAACTCATGGCATAAATCTCAAAACCACGACGTTTTCCCTATCTTCTTCATTCTCATGTTGACCAACCCACCTATGGTCACCCCTCCTCTTGACATAAACCATATCCACCACACCGTCTGCTCTTTTCCTTCCGCCAAGCGCCTCCCACGCTCGCTTCTTTCCCGTATAACTCAATCCCTCACGAAGAGCGCCATAAGCAAAAGCTAATCGCACATCTTCCTTTCCAGAAGCCCACATATCTGAGTCGCCGAGATCGAATGTTCCTTCCATCTTCGACATGTCCCAATGAATACCAGTGGGATATTCGGCGAGAGAGTATCCGTTTGTGAGAACCCACTTTGACGATCCCTTTCCGTCGAAACCGAATCTTTGGAAAACGCATGCTTCACCACAGGCATCTGCAACAATGTGAGATATCTCGGGAGTAGCATGATGCCAAGATTTGTAATGATGTAAAGAGAGGGGTTGATGACCAGCTTCGTAGAAACCGGATGGGTCACCCCATTGATCGAGTTGATTGAGTCTGGGGAGGTAGTTCAGAGTAATTGAAGTATGGTTCTTGATACAGTGGTAGAGGAGTCGATCGCCCTGGAACCCAGATTCGGTGTATTCGCCTGTGGAAGGATCCACGTCGAGACAGGGGAGTCCAATCAAAGTGTGTGCGAGAGGGGCAGTAATAAAAACACCAGCTCCACCGTAAGCCTACAAATCGTTCGTTAGTTGGCAATTGACAGGAAGGATTTTAAGTTCTTACCATGGGAACACGATCATGCATGATAAAATCCACGCGCTCGGTGAGAGTACCGATATAATACTCCTCGTTAGGATCATAACTGTGCAATTCCTTCATCAATGCGCCAAGCGAGGGAAAGAAAGTATCGTCATCAATCAACGACAAGTATTTTCTGCTTGATCTTGATGGATGGCTGTAAAGAATTGGTACCAGATCAACATATCTACCCGGCATATCGAGAGAAGGATCCGAGTGGATGACCGTTGCATCAATTCCGACATCAGTGAGCAATTTTTGAGCAGCTGCCAATTGCTCTTCGGTGGTATCGTGCAATTGTAAGACAAGTCCAGCTCCGTTCGATGTGCCATTTCCATCTGTAAGCCATCGTACCCATTCCTTGACTGGCCCATCAACTTTGTCACTGAATCTCTTGTAGGTGGTTGAAACTCCAAACAATAACTCGGAAGCGTCAATTTCGTCTGGTCGTGGAGTTTTCATGACATGAATTTCCAAAGGCTCTAATGTATCCGCTGGTAGCCTCTCAACATCTGAGAGCTTAATCTTCTTCCACCCATGAGGAAACAATTCTTGGCTGGTATTCGTCAACATTGGTCTTTCCTTCGCATCTGTAACATATCGTATAGTTCTCATCACGTAGTTGATCTCCATCTCGACATTGTTCTTCGCCAATACATCTCGTAAAAAGGCAGCGTCGTCAACATCAGTAATATTCAATTCTACCGGTGCAATTTGAGCTTGCTGTGTTTCATGAGTTTGAGCAACTTGTTTTGCAGTTGCTTGTGACTTTTCTGGTGGTGCTGCATTTTCTTCTTTTGACGTTTCCTTGAATGCAGGTACGATGGTCTGGGAAACGTTCTCGTGGTAGTAAGATAAAATGAGGAAAAATGCTACCGTCGCAACAGCGAGGAAGCGGTGCACAGGCATCCGAGGCATTTTTGGGGGCTGTCTTCGGGCTCTAATGGCGATTATCGCCTGGTTTTCGCTAATCACTTCCTGTAAATGCAAGCGATTCTTATCGTAATGATACCCAATCAACAAATACTCGCTCGTGTCGTAGATAGTTCAGTGCAATGCAACTGCAGACCAAGAACGCAAGATTAAAAATGAAGGTGTCAAGGAAATGAAAAGAGAGGGAAGAATAAAGAATGAATTCTAGATTGATGGAACAGGTCGGACGAAGGTCTGGGTGGGAAATGGGGAGAGAAAATAGCTGAATGAATAGGAGAAAGGTGGAGACGATGGAGAATGAATTCGGACAGGATGACGAAGCGTTTGATGGTCCCTGGTCGTTGGTGGCACTGGTGCAAGATGGTAAATTAAACCATGGGGAATAATCAAATTAGAGTAAAGAAAATCCATGGTTGGAAAATTCGAGATGCTTCAAGTTAATCATTTATTACTATGCTCATCGAGCTCATCCATCTAAAGGGGGCCGCTTTCGGTGGAGCCGTATATCTCTAAGTTTTGAAGGATTGGTCAATGTAGCGGATAGAAAAAGTAGATCTACCTAGTAGGCATCCAAAGATGAGCATCCCCATGTAGAGAGAGTACCAGTGAATATAATAAAGTTGTATACCTACCCAGTTTCAAGGGCGGCTGGAAAAGAATTCAAGGTTTCAAGGTTCTACAAATGAACATGTTATTGCATACCAACAAATGACTGGCTCGACTGGCTATCGAGGTAATTTGTTTAATAAGTTTTATCTGTAGGTAATTTGAGTGATAGGATCCACAAGACAATGTCTAGGGTAGCAGTTCATGATTAGGGGGATTAAAGTAGGAAATGAGATAAAATCACTGAAGGCATGATTTTTTTTATCAGACTATCGATTGAGGCTGGCTTGAGACGACGAAACTGTCATGTCAGTTTTATTTAAAGGTTAGTTTGATACAAGTTACTGCTATTTTAGGTCATAAAGATGTTTCCAGAGACCCACGAGATTTTTGGTTATAGAAAACATAGGGACACGCAAGTGCCAAGGCGGTAGTTGGGAATATGCCTGCTATTGCCTGAGCCCTGAATAAATGGCGTAGGAGTGTAACAAGGTTTGAAATGCTTAAATTAACCAAGCATTCCGTGAAGCTTCTTGAATCCCATGAATTATCGAGTGTGATAATAGATAACTGCTGTCAAACTGGTGTCAACAGTCCGACTAGAGTAAGAAGACACAGGTAGAATCAGAGATTTGTTCCTCGTAAGGCGTGGTATTCCTGGGTGACCCTCACCAGCATGTCAAAACCCATGTTTCAAGAAGTTGCAAGTTTGAAGTTACTGATCGGCTGTGGAGCGTTTAATATCGAGATTGTCGACAATCTCAGCAAGTGGACAAATCACGTTTTCCATGGATGAGGGCCGGAGGGGGCTGAGTAAGTGCCTATGATAAGAGCTCTTCAGATATTCTGACGATCTTCTCGAAACGTTTTGATAAACTGCTTATCACTGGCGCCGATCAGGACTTCCGCTGCCGTTGCCTAGGATATGGGATTTCAAGATCCCGAATCAAAATAACCTCAGACCCAATTCTAGGGAAAAACTGTAGGAACAAAGACGGAAGAGGAAATGTACGAAATCCCCCGAGTGATAGTTGCAACGCGGTAAATTCTAACATCAGATAACCCATCAATTCTTGATAGACCTGTGTGCTAGTAAGTTACATAGGCAGGTACGATAACGCAAATATATCATTCATCTAGTCGACGCAGGAACGATAGTGATTATCAAAGCAGACATAAAGGTACGCCCCACTTAGAGCAAGTCTGTGATGTTGAAATTCGAAAGACATTCCCCTTCTCTTCCCCAGATAATCCCAATAAGGATGAGATTCACGAGACGAATACCTGGAGAAGAAAGGTCAAACGTAAAGGCCCGAAAGGTCCAATATAAACAGTATATCAAGGTGGGAAACTGCATTTGTGAAACGAGCTGTCTTGGATTGATTATGGGGAAACACGTTGAATACGTTTAATCGACAAGAGTTAATTAACATATTTCGAGCTTTAGTCATGAAATTCCTCTGTTAAAGTGCGGTGATTCAAAATGACGCCACTAAAAGGAATTATTATTAGATTGTGTCAAAAATTCAAAATATAAACAGCACTTTTTCTCGGGCCAATTCCGAGACCTATTCGAACTTTATATCGTGAATTTGAATGTAAGAGTTGAGGCCCCGGCTTATCGCACACTACCCTTTTTCGTGACAAAATCCCTGCAAAAAAATCGTTTTCCTATATAAACTAATTTCTCTGATAATTTATTTGATAATTGAAATAATAATTTCAAAATTTTATATATAAGAGTTTAATATATATATAATCTTAAAAATAAAACAAATTATTTTTAATATTTTTTTGAAAGAAATTATAGAATCTTGAAATTGAAAATTTTCGAAATTTATTACATATAATGCTTTTCTTATACAAAAAAATCGATTTTTTTGAAAATTTTGAAAATTTTAACTTTAAACCCCTACAACTCTTTTCAAAAAAATTATAAAAATAATCTATTCATTTTTTAAAATAATTTTGATAATTATTTATTATATTCCTTAATTTGAATAATTCAATCTATATATTTATCGAAATTTTATATAATTAAAAAGTTGAATAAATAAAGGTTTTTGCTATGTTTTTGCTTAGTATACGATAAGCCGGGGCCTCAACTCTTACGAAGTACTGACTCTGCTGACTAAGCACAATTGGCTAAGCTACCCTATTCCATGACACGAACAGATTATCTAAGAAGCTCGTACAACTTCCACCTCCGGTATATCAGAACCTCAAGATGAATTTATTAGAATCTGTGCTGTATCGTTACCGCCATTGACGCACCCTTCCAGAAGGTCAAAGCCTCAAAGGCGATATGATTTGCCAGTGAACAGTCACATGTCACGAATAAAGTTGCGCTAACTTGGATGTTTACCGACTATCACTCTCGTTTTCGTCAGAGGTAATCAAAGATGGCTCCATATCTCAATTTGACTGATGACAGGTTCCATCTAATAACTTGCCCTCGTCTTGGTCCAAGCCGATAGACTTTTCAGTCTGAAATTCAGACTCTGAAGTTCTCTAATGACATTATCAATCCGTTAATGACTTGCTTTGACCTCGTGCTTCGCAATTCCTGCTTCTCTCTCTAAAGTTAGTAGTTTAGAAGTTTTTTCCCCCAGCATACATTCTACAATCAATCTGCCTGACCGGAAATGTGTGAATGATATTAGAGCCATGACCTGACCGCAAGTGCTCTTGTTGACAGCCTTCCAAGATACAATGCGTGATTGAACGTCTTGATGCATTACATGCACTCCTCTTAGCCAAAGTGGTCACTCTTTCACTGATCCAGATGTGTACGGGGCAATCTGTACGCAATCCTGTGGAGGCTATGGGCAATTTGATTCATTTCTCGACATGCGTACCTATTGCTTAACGAGATTGCTTCAACGGTATAACACTCTCTAATATCCTACCATTGTTGACAGTATCTTCGAACTTTGCAAGTCGAAGACTGTCTAATCCAAGTCAAAAAACCACTCATTCATCTCAAAAGGGGCTCATGGCTTCCCTGACAAGAGCACCATGCCGAGCCCATTCGAGAGAATAAGGAGAGCTTCCTAAGCTATGACGAAAATTGAGACATTTCTCAATGCTGACTACGAAGAGCAGGACTGTCACTCTTTTGTGAGGACACACCATCACACTAAGCTCAATCCCGACCAGTACAAATTCTGATCCACGCCATCACCAAGACCTTGTAGATAACAAATAGGAGGGTTCGAAAGATCAGAAAGACCCTCGACCTCAACATTCTATCTTTACCCATTTATCCTCACTTGAGATGTTGCTGAACGGAATAGACTTATTGCTTGGTGAGCAACACAATATGCCCCAACTAGTTGACACATCTCCATCCTGTCCGCAAGGAGGTCATGATATAGCTGCAAGTCGACCCCGACATCTTGTAGCAGATAAGCGTAAATGGCGGTGTTGCATGAAACGTTCAAGATCGACAACTTACTGGCCGGAATTGCAAGAGAGGTCATCGTACGCCGTATGAGATTGGAAATGATCGGCAAATTGGTGAGAAAAATCATCTAGCAATATTGACCCCTTCACTTTCTGCCAATTCTGAAATGGATATCAGAAAGACTTGCTAAATAATTTTGGTGTAATGGACCACGATGCACGGGGTAGAGAGAGAGAGTGTGTGTGTGTGTGTGAGAGAGTGAGAGAGAGGTGAGAATTTGATAGGACAATGTAGGTCGGCTTACCTTAGCACCTCATTGGTGGCTCAACCCCACCCAAAAATGATAAGCCGAGCACCTCATCTGCTATCACGACAGAGACACCCCCATGTTCAAAAATTAATCGCGATTACTCACATTATCATCATGGCGTTTCGTTCCATAACATCCTTCAGGTTCATTTCAACGTCTTGTCGAGATGGCAAACTCTATCCCTTCCTCTAGCTCTGACGCTGCATGTAGTTCCGACAATGATACCGAAGTTACTGACAGCAGTGCTACTACCTATGCTTATCTCGCCGATGACCCTGTACATTTCTCTTATCGGGATGGTGACCTTACATGGTCAGGAGCTGTAGGAATTGATGGCGGCATATCTGGTGGGAAAATCAAAGGAGAAGATGTGATCTGTGTTACTGAGAATGAGGGACCCAACGGTACTCTGGGCTATACAATCTTCAGTCTGCTTCCAACAGAAGGAGGAACTAAAAAACTTCCATTCGAGTTGAAGACAACATCTGCCACCAACCTCCCCCAAGAATGTCTCGAAAGTTATTTGATTAGGAGTTTGCCGACATATCTTCGCTCCGCAGAAACGCAAATATACGTTTTGATCTCCACGTTGTCTGGGACAGGGTTGGCGCCAGACTTTTACGACACTGTGTTACACCAAGTTCTCGGATCTATCGGATTGCCGGAAGGAAGCTACACCTTGATCAGAACAGATAATGCGGATTCCGTAAAGGACTTTGCAAGCTCAACATTGCTGGAGGGCGCAAATAAGGGTAAAAAGCAATCGATATTGATGTTAAGTGGTGATGGTGGGATGGTGGATACAATAAATGGATTGCTTGAGAGTGGAGAGAAATCAAGGTGGGCTTCTCCGCACACCCTATCTGTGCTATTCACTACTAACATCTTATTCACAGATCGTATGTAAAACCGACATTATCTCAACTTCCTCTTGGAACAGGAAATGCTCTCTTCCATTCGTTGCATCGGCCTTCTCCGATCCCGTCAATATATATACAGGGTCTACGTACATTACTTCATGGGACCCCTTTACCACTTCCAATATTCGGTGTGAAATTCTCTCCTGGGGCACGAACCATTACGAACGAAGGTCAAACAGAGACACCACTCACAAACAATATTGTCTACGGGGCAGTTGTCGCGAGTTATGGCCTCCATGCAACTCTAGTTGCCGACAGCGACACAGTCGAGTATAGAAAACATGGAGACCAGAGGTTTCACCTGGTAGCTGGTGATTTGTTGTTTCCAAAAGATGGAGCTCTACCACACGCTTATAAAGCTTCTGTCACATTGACCAGATCTGATGGTACAGAAGAAGTCATACAAAGAAAAGAACACGGATATGTTCTCTCAGTACTTGTGTCCAACCTTGAGCGAACTTTCACAATATCTCCTGAAAGTAAACCCTTGGATGGCCAATTACGAGTCATACACTTCGGAGCTGCAACTGGTAAGCAAACAATGAAAGTAATGGAAGAGGCATACAAAGATGGAAATCACATTGGTATGCAATGGGATGAAGATGGCCAGAAAGGGGAGGTTGGATACGAAAGTATCGAGAAGCTTAGGATAAATTTTGAGGAATCCGGAGATGGTTTCAAATGGAGACGATGTTGTGTAGACGGGTTGATTGTGGGCGTTGAAGAGGGAGGCTGGATGGAAGTTGAAAGGTTAAAAGGCGAAGGGACATTGGATGTTGTGGTTGATTTGTGAAATCAACCAGGAGTCCAAATTAGAATATCATGTTGCTCGTGAAAATAGATCGCTTAGCGGATTAGACGATTAAGGGCGGTTATTTCTGGGAGCATTACGTGTTGGGATTAGACGTCACAATGACTGAGTGGCAGATTTTAGATTGAAATAGTTAGCCTGGAGTTTTAAGTATAGCATCTTACTATCTTACATATCATATTTCGCATGTCATCTCTTTCATCACTTGTCATGTATCTATATGTCAGCAATTGCTTCGGTTTTCCGAAAAGCCGACACCCAAAGGCCCGTAGTCATCCATTCTCCACGGATCTTTGGTCAATTCTTAGTTCTTGAATTTGGTAGTTCGGGTCGGGTGGTAGTGGAATGTACAGCAGTGAGTCGAAAACACATGGAGGCAAGAATTTTTGAAAAGGCATGTCTGTCTTGTTGATACCGGCGTTTAGAACACGATAGTCAATCAAATCTTGCTCAAACTAGCGCACTCATCTGAATTACTGATACAGGCGTTTAGAACACGACAGTTAATCGAATCTTGCTCAAACCAGCGCACCGATCTGATCCATCCAAAGACCAACTCGCAGCCGATTGGCCAGGTGCGGCACTGATGATACGATTCTGTCTTGGTTGAAATAGATGTCCTCACAGGGAGAATTTTGATAACCTCGCTTTTCTCTCAAACACTGGTGGCTATCTAGTCTTCTTCTTTTCTTTCACAGAGCCCAAAGTTCTTACATACAACAAACTTGTACAGCGGAAAAGCAAAGTGACACGCTGATTAAGTAAACATGAACATGGGAACATCAAGCATGAGCATAGGAGGTGCGACGGCGACTGCAACCGGGACAATGACTGCAGTGACCACCGCTGCGGCTATGGATATGGGAGGCGGATGTCAAATTTCTGTGAGACACATCAGTTACTTTCAATTTTTTCGAGTATCATACGAATTATCTAATAATCTTCGTCTAGATGCTTTGGAACTGGTATACCATTGACTCGTGTACGTCAAGTTCTCTTCTACCTTTTATATCTGTGGACAGATTCCAAAACTATAAACTATCATCTGCGTCAGCATTATTGACAACTCTGTAGGTTTTATCTCAAGCACATGGCACATTACTTCGAATGGAATGTTCGCTGGCTCTTGCATTGGCGTGATGCTACTCGTCATGTCACTAGAGTTCCTTCGTCGAGCGTCAAGGGAATACGATCGCTTCATCGTCCGTCAAGCACGAAATCAACATCAGTACATCCAGTCTAACGCAGAGATCAATCCCAAGATAGACGGATCCGGCCCTCAGTCAACTCAAACTGTCGTTGCTTCACAAAAAACTACGCAAAGCTTTCGACCAGATCTCTGGCAACAGATAATCAGAGCACTCTTTCATATGATGCAGTTCGCAGTTGCATACTTCGTTATGTTGCTGGCTATGTATTTTAATGGATACATCATCATCTGTATCATAGTTGGAGCTTTTCTAGGTGCTTTTGTGTTCAGTTGGGAGCCGATAAATTTGAGGTTAGCTATTTTCGCAACTCGTTTGAAAAACGACCTAACAATTGAATAGATCTAAGGATAATGAAGAAGCAACCTTCTGCTGTGGTTAGTGAAGTTGTTGAAAGACTGAAATGGTCAACTTAGATCGGATTCGGTGGCAATGTGTGGAGGTGTAGGGGAACGAAGTTGAGAAGTGTCAGGAGTTGAACATGAATCAGATTCTAGAATTCAATGTTCGTAGTGGAATACCAATAGAAACTATGATAGAAGAATCAGTGAATAGCTTGCAACCAATCACACCTAGAAGGTCTATTTAGGCAAGTCACTAATGACCTGTAGACATATACCAGCAACAATCAAATCTAACTCATGTTATCTTTACTTCATTCTGAATATTTCGTTTTCTGGAGAGTCAGAGAATTTATAAAACAACTGGTTCTAATGCGCCTGCGGATTATTTGAAGATATTTTATCAATGTTGAGCCACAGCTTGATTCTCTACGACCGACCTTCAATTTGCATCACGAAAATGATATCTCATACACCAAATCTTTCAAACCAATCTGTAACCTGCCTCCAACCACAATTCCAAATACTGAGCTTTTTCAAAAATCACCCCAGGCCCTCATCAATAGGTTTTCGCCATCAGAAAAACTACATTCTCTTTCCACTTCATCACAAAACTGGGAGGCCGAGTGGCTAGAAAACAACTTAGAAGCCCAAGTGTCAGAATGCTATAATCAAGCACTGCATATAAAACCAGTATTAAAATCCAAGAAGCAAACCAAAATCTGCCCTCAAAAATGAGCAATCGGTTCTTGACATGATTTCTTGACGTAAATAGAGACTTCCTCACACAAACACAATAGTCAAAGCATATGAAGTTGATGCAACATAGCACGCAGCTCGGTTTTGCGTACGTGCAAAACTACAGCTGTGGTTCAAATACCATGGCCCTCGACTTGGATGAGAAGGATCACTGTAATTGGGTGATCTCTGGCTGATACAGCTGATGACCAAAGAAAACACACGCAGCTGAGCAGATAGACTTGTGTTCGCGTGCTAATAGAAGTTGCCAGTGCTAGTAGTTGTCTAGTGAGGAAAAGACACAGTGGGAATATTCCGGCTGCGAGATTGGACTCAGTATATCTGACCTCAAATTCTTTGTCAGATATTTTCTTTAATAATCAAGAAGAAAGGAGGTATGGATTGAGGCGTGCCGATTGATAAAAAAGAACACAACATACCGTAGAGACCAGATAAAAGGAATTTCTGGCGATTGCAGGTACTTTGCATAAAAGTAGATGCGCATTTTAGGGTCCGAGTTAAATCTGTGTTGTCTACCTTCTTCCCAGAGAGCTTTTGGGTAACATCGGGATATCCTACTAGGAGTAAACTGATGATGATTATAATGAGTTGAGCTTCTATCAACATGAAGTATACTCGTACTTTTAGTTTGTGCCAAGGCATGTCTCATTCACAGGGGAATTAAAACTCGCTTTGCAAGTGGTAACCTTATATAATGAGGATCCATGATGAGGTTACAGAGAAGTGGGACTATCATCCTGAGCGTGCAGCTCATCACTTCAATATAAGATTTCTTCGCCAACAGTCTTGTCTATCACGGCTACTGGCAATAATAGGATATCAAGTGACCGCAGCTTTTTCAGTAGGCAATCTCGGTTACCTGTGATTGGAGCATATTTGAGTGCATTTCTAGTACAAAGACGTCAAAAGGATCCTGCCAAGCGATGCCAGAAACAATTAGGCATGACAGATCATATTATACTTTTGCAAGTACAAGATAGATAACCGTAATGTAATAGTGTGGAATAAATTGCACCAGATTTTACTTATGTGATCTTTGATTCTATCATTCCTTGCCCTGACTTTAGAGAGATTTCAATCTCTGAAAACAGAATGTCTCGAAAAGTCTCTAGAACCGCATAGTTGAGTCGGTAGTGTTGGCAATTCACTACATTAAGAGAAAAATTTCGGCCCAAGATTCATCAAAGGTTCCTCTTCTTTGAGCTATTAGAACTAGATCTGTTTCACAAATTTTAACACAGTTACTGGTTGAACATGCTCTTTGATATGTCTTGATAGTAGAGATAAATTACATACAACACCGATAAGAAGTATCAGCGGACTTTAAGACAATCACGACAGCTATTGAAACATGGCACACGCGTTACCCCACCATTATCCAGTCGCGGGTTGTCAGAAGCAACACCTTCTGCATCTTTAGAACAGTCCATAGGGCATGGGAGTCAGTATCAGTAGGTCAAATAGCTCATAATAAGATATTATCATAACGAGAGGAGATCGTACTGAGAATTGCAAAGTCGAAAATGATCGAGACTTAAGGGTTGGATTAAGTCAGTGTAAAAAAATACCCGCATATACAGAATCCAATGACTGTTGTACTGTAATGATCATCCTCAATTCATCAACAAGAAATGCCCTTACAAAGTGAGAAATCAAGCAGTGAATGATATCGACTACTACCTAGTCACATACACCGAGCTTGCCAATCCATCCTCTCTTATGCCCACGAGAAGTGTTCGGAATATAAGTACACCCCACCAGAGCTCGGGTTCTTGATAATACTCAAGTTCTCTTTCGCAACAGCATTGCGGATATCATCTTGCATCGTAAGCGGCCCGCATATGAAGACGCCCATTGTATGTCCTGTTGTCCTCGCTGCGGCGGCTTCTTCTCGGATAATTGAAGGTAGATCTGGGCGACCGCGCACTTCATCTTTCGATTCACTTGCGTCGGAGTTTCTAGACGCTCCTGTATTCTTATCGATGACGTCTTTTTCTGTCGATATGATATTGGGCCTTTCGAGCTCAGAAGCAGATTCAGTCGGAGGTTGCACCATAGGCTCAGCTTTGCCAGTCAGATGTACCTCGACACTTATGTCTGTACCTAGCGACTGGTAGTCCGATAGCATATTGTTAACGATTGTATGGAACCATGTACGGGTCGCTATGTCTCGTGTTGATAGTATGAGCCGCAACGATCGAGGACGGCGAAGGTCTCGCTGACATGGTGGCTTGTCAGAGGTCTGCTTATTATCTTTTGTTTCGTCAGCTAGAGGTTCGGGAACCCCCTTTAGAGAGCTAAATCGCAGGAATTGCTCGACAAAAGGTAGCATCCATCCAGCTCCTGAGCCACCAGCAACCACAACAAGACGATCGCTGTTAAAGTACTTCTGATTATCTATACCACCATAAGGACCATCAACCAATACAGGTACCTGTATACCTGGGCGTTTTATTGCATGATTGTACAGCCTTGCTGTAAAGCCTCCTTGATGACGGATGTAGAAAGTAATCTCGGACGGTTTATCAAGTGATGTAGATGGTAGCGAGCAGATGGTAAATGGATGAGAGCTTAAAGCATGGATACCGAAGCTGCGAAACCGCAAGAAACAATGTTGTCCCGGTTGCCATTTGAAATTGGCTGGTGTTGTAATACGTGTAAATCCATTATCTTCAATGAAGATTTCCGCTTTCTGATGCGTACCGTACTCAAACAAGGTCCTAAGCCATGGATACGTCCAACAAGGTACGTACACTGCTGCTGTTGCGACAAAATAGTCCCTACCAGTTTGTTAGGAAACTCTTGAAGATATAATTTGCTTCACGGAGCATACCATGATGTTAGTGTACCGCTGCAGTGCCAGAAAAAGACTACCATGAATACTACAGCCGATAAGAAATGTGTTGCTTTGAAAAACTCATAGCCAAGATTTCTAGTGAGTGATTAATCGTCTGTGGAATGTTCTTATGTCAAGGTTGCTTACCGAATGGGACCACAGGATGCAAATGTGAGCCACGCCTGAAAGACAAGCGCAACAATGCCAGTCCAATATTCGAAGATGTTACTCACAGTGAACTGATTGACCATATCCCCATTATGAATATGCCAAACAATAAATGGAAATGTGTGCATCAATGCCAGGATGAAGAAAGCATATGCAGTCCACCGGTGAAAGACCTGGAGCTTCTCATATGGTACTCCGGTCACCATTGTTATCCAGTTCGTCTTGGTTGCAGTCGCACTATGCATAATCAGTCTGGGTTCCCATAGTTGATTAGATGAGCGTACTAGACAAAGGGCATACAAGCTAACGCCAGCCAGCCAGACCTGGTACCTAATGGCGGCGAGTTGCCCCAAACGGTGTCCGTCCCCGGCCAGTAGTATGGAGATGGTATCAAATCCATGCCTTCAGAAGAGGTCAGTCCATGTATCTTTCTACCAATTGCAGATCAGCATCGCACTTACAGAGAAAATATGTGGTCCCTAAAGCTCCTAAGAATAACACTCCCACAGGCGCAGAGTTCCACCTTAGACCTTCGATGCGAAAACCTCGATATGATAGATATCGAACGAATGCGACGCCCCTTCGCCATATCAAAGGCTCAGACCTGTGGGACAACGCAAGGACTTGTGTCAAGACGTAACCGATTGTGAAAATGCCGATAACGCACATAAAGAGTGCTACTGTTGGCAGCGCAAATGTCCAGTCTGCTACATACCTAGTGTATTTGTCAATCAAACTTCTTCGTGCTGAGTGGTATCTTGTAGAAGGTGTATAACTCACCAATTGCGCCATGGTTCTTTGTAATACTTACACTGGTCGGAATCGAAGCCTTCACAATCGAAGGCCCGACCAGACTCGAACATAACAGGTTGATATATCCATGCAGCCATTTGATCTTAGTTTTCTTTGCGACAATGTTAAAGCTGTCTTGGTGGTTCGTCCCCTTGACCTAAAATACTATGGATTTATTCACAACGTTCTTGGATCATGAATAGCAAAAGCTTAGAAACTCAAAGGATATGATTGCCAAATAGCATCGGAAACTTTCAAGCTTCCAAACCCACTACATTTGGAGAATAACGACTCGTCCCACGCTCGGCCACGTATATTTAGCGAAGGTAACAATTAGTTAATCGAGTTTTTTAGCGCGCGTAATATCTTACTCAAACTCGCGCAAATCGATCAAATCCCCATTTCGAGACAAGTCCCGTAGACACTCACCAATAAAAAGAGAGATGTTAGGGAATTTGAGCAAGTTTTCTTCCGAATTAGGAAGATTCATCAATGAGCTACGACAGGGATAACTGGGTAAACGGTATTAAGTCGGGATTGGGCGTCTTACGACGGATGATAATAAGAATCTCTAAGCAGTAGAAAAGAAGCATCTGTTAAACGCTTTGCAAATTCGAATGATTTGCAAACTCAGCCAACTATGGAAATGTCAATGCCCAGCTCAACAGGCTCGATGGCCATGTCAATGTCACCAACCAGCACAATGTCAGGCATGTCGATGGCCAGCTCAACCAGTTCTTCGATGTCAATGTCCTCCGATAAAATGATGGGTATGGACTCTATGGCAATGACATTCTTCACCTCTTCAACCACACCTCTTTACTCAATGGATTGGACACCGAGCACCACTGGCCAGTACGCAGGCACATGCATCTTTTTGATCGTATTTGCGGCAATCTTTCGAGCACTGGTGGCTGTCCGAGTCCACTTTTATCAGCTGTTAGCTGCTGCCGATACCCGCCGCAGTGGTGGTCTAATCCATGAACCACATCGGGAAGAGAAGTCGATTCGGCGCCAATGGCAGGCAAGAGAGGCAATTTTGCTAGGATTGATTGACGTCGTACTTGCGGGCGTGGGATATTTACTGTATGCAGTACCACTCTCGGAACTTTGTTAGTAATAGATATGCTAACAATATTTAAGAATGATTGCGGTAATGACCATGAATTTCGGATATTTCCTTAGTGTATTGGCTGGCGTTTTCGTCGGGGGTGTTTTGTTTGGTCGTTATCTTGCCGAGTCATCGGCGCATTGAAAGGGAGTCTCCAGGCTTGAGATTACAATAGGTCTCCTTTAATGGTGCTGAGGCTGATGACACCGTCTCAGTACAGTGATGCCATGCGCAAAAGATGGGACCCTTGAGATGGCCAAAGGCCTGATCATGGCTACCTGCGAAATACTTCAAGTATTAGGGTTTGGCACTATGTATTCTCTCACCATGAGTTCTTAGCCTTCCACGCTTCCCACTTAGGAATTCGATGAATACTCTTCTATGGCTCGAAATGACTGCAGAGAGTACACATGTGCTTTGAAAGCGATAGTAGAACTCTAGAAATCTTGAGTAATAAATTGATTCATTTATCTAACGAGATGTCTACCAAGCAAGGCGATTGAGATTTCTCTTTTCATCAAATATTTCATTTATTGCATCGCAAAGCATAGAGTAGCGCCCTCAAGTTTCAACTCGCTTCAAATAGAGAAATTCACTCCCAGTTGAGTCCAAAGCATGCTCACAAACTTGCAGGCACAATCACATTCGTGATAGCTTATCCATCGCACTCATGAATTGCTAATTCGCGAGTGTGATAATTTGTCCACCTTCCCAAGTCTCTCCAGCCTCCAATTTTTGCCATCCACTAACAGATCCAGCTTCGACACAGATCATGGTTCTCCATCCGTCCTTTGGAGCAAAATCGCCGATATCCTTGGCGTCGATCCAAGGGTTCCAAACAACAACTTGGTTCATGTTATCTCTTGCGACTGTGTATTTCTTTTTTCCTCCCTCAGAAACAATTATTTCGGTGGATGGACCGCCGGCAGGAGTGTAGACACGATCGGTTTTGGCAGAGATGGTAAGGGGTTCGGTGGGAGCGGTGTTTGTGGAAATTGGTTCGGTGAGTTTGTCGACATATGTAGCATTCTCGAGACCTGTGATGGAGATTTGGGAGATATCCTGTTGTTGATCGCACATTAGCATATGACGTCGTTTGCGGAGAGCTGAGTGTAAATAAACATACCTGGATCTTCAAATAAGTGTGCATCAAGATCTGGAACTCCCAAGCTGTAGTACCCTCATTTCTAACCACCATACTCGTTCCAAGACCTTCTCTACTAAGTGTAACACTATAAATCAGACCAAACTCGCCACCCCACAACTTTCTTGTCTCCTCAGGTACGTTGCTAGCACTCAAACCAAAGTCCAACTTCACACTGCTATCACCACCCTCTTGTCCCTTAACGGTACTGCTCTCACTAGTACTCTTTCCCAAAAATTCCCATCTACAGTTGCGCGCAAAACCATGTTGAGGTAAAGTATCAACACCCTTCGCTTTACCTTCCTCGCCCTCTACCTTTCCGAACACCGGGAACACTAGAGGAATACCACCACGCACAGCTTTTGTACCATCTAGCACCGCTTTTTCGCTAAGCCAGAGTTTTTCAGTTCCGGCAGCATCTTTCCAGCTTATGATTGTGGCGCCGTAAAGAAGGATTTCGACTGATTCTCCGGTGGGGAGAACGGCGGAGACACGGGAGTTGGAATGAGTGGTATTTATTTGAGCATGAGGTGCGAGGCCTGGAGTGGCAGAGAGAGCAGATGGCTTCTTGGGTCGGTCCATTGTTGAGATTGTTGCGTGGATGATTGAGTTGGGAATTGTTAGATCAAATGAGGGGTAAATTGATCGATGAAAGAAGCTAGGTATGGATGAGATCTTATCAACAAGGTGGGATATTTCGATGTATTTATACTTCTGTGTGTGTAACTGCAGGTGAGATGAAACAAGCGTATAGTGCAGTTGTACCAGCTGTGTATAATAGGCTGAAAGAGGAGTATCTTATGAAGTTATTCAGGTGCGGTGTAAAGTGTTGGAGTGAGGGACGAGTCTTAGAGGTACCAATTGACGGGAGTTACCTAAGACAATCTAGTCCATCTCACCAAAATGTGGGATGTAAGCGAGAAACCTGAAACAAGAAAGAATGACCAGGGTATCCAGGATGAAGGAGCTGAAAATAGATCAGCGGCGAATGGAAATCAGACTAAAAGTGGGGCTGATCATCAACAAGGACTAGATCAGGCTAAATGATGATTGGTCTAGGAATTTATGTATGGGAATGGACAAGAGGGCATTTGAGGGCGAAGAATTTGAAGAGATACTTCTCTGTGTATGAGGAGGTGTATATGATTTGGTTTCACGTCCGTTGACGAGGGCTGAACAGATTAGATGGAATAACACCTAGAGGGCAAAGATCAAGGGCGAATCAATATCAAGCTGAGACTACAAATACATCATTTCCTTACCGATCATTTGAAGACTACTAGGTGATATGGGCAAATCTTATTTGTTCTTATCTATAAGATCTAATTCATGGTTAGTTTGAGACTCAGGGGAACTGATGAAATAAAAAGTGTTCATAGGTGCAACATAATTGGCAATATTTCTGGTATCTAAGCTACAAATTATCCACCAAAACTCCTCCATGCAATCATGTCATGTATGTCTTCATGTGACATTTGTTAGCCAACCACAAGCCAAAGCAAAACGCCATCTCAATGCAAATGTCCTCAATCATCAGCTGATTGTCTTCCTCGCCTGATTGCTCCATACAATTGGGCTTTTGCATCCATAAATATATCCTCTACTTCATTTCCTTGCTCTCGATTAAGAGCAGCATCCCCAAGATCTTTAACTAAGCTCAGCAGCCTCTCCTTTATAGTTTGGTATGTGGGAGCGGCTGTAGCAGGCTCTACCATTTCCTCCTGTTGATCGTCGTTGGCTTTCTGTGATCCGAACTCCATCTCCTCAGCTATTTGCGATTGTAGTAAAGTTTCCTCCACAAAATCTAGCTCCAGTTCATCGACTTGCTCAAGTGCTTGACTTGTTTGTTCCACATGTTCTGAATAATCGCGAGTGATATCGTCAACAGCTTCAGTGCTAGAAACTGGCATGGTAGGGCGGTCGTTGGCGATAACCGACGAACCGGTTTCAGTGATATCTGGGACAGAACTGAATTCTCTCGATGCACTCATGCTTGAATTGTTCTCAAGAATACTCTTAGCTCTTGACGATCGTGTACTCCTTCGAGTGGCTCGTTCAGATCGTTGAGATTGAGCAGATTGGGCTTCAGAAATACTGTGTGTTGCAACAGGCTCTGGTGTCTTCGCGGGACGACCCTTTCTCTTCTTTATTGGTTGCACTGATAAAGCTGTACAATCAATTAGTATTATTTTTTTCACATAAAAAGAATATCACACATACCAGTTTGAGATACCTCTTGTCTGCCAAGCACCGCACTATCAACTTCGAGGGTCTCGTCGAATTTTCTCTTCTTCGCTGGAGTATCACCATCACCATCGCCTACAACTTCATTCTTAACCTTAACCTTGTTTGGCGTACTCTTTTTATTGAATGTCTTTGGACTCTTGTTTGTATTGGTTGGACGCACCTGCTGCTGCCCTGCATGAGGTACTGCACTAATAATAGAGCCAGAGTCAGAGTCATCAGCCACGGATCCATGTAACGTGTTCTCTTTTCCATTCCTTTTCAAAAGCTGTGGAGCCGGAGTCTCAGGAATGACAGATTGAATAGCCGATGATTGAGACACAGGGCGTATTGGAGACCGACGTTTTGGGCTCGGAATTTTGCGAGTGGGCTCGGCATGAACAGAGACGGTAGCTAATTTTGCAGATGCGTGAGTTTGACGAAGAACTCCACCTTGATTTCCAGCTAACGCCCTATCCACAAGTTTTGCTAGTTTGATAAAGGTAGATTCGTCAATATCGCTCAGAGGAGAAGAACTGTTGTTAAGCATAGGGTTTGTCATCGACAACTCTTGTATCCTGGGTGGGAGTCCTCGTGGAGACGATGTAGCGTCTTCGAAAGTCTCGTCATCGCTTGTGGGTCTGTCTGAATGTATAACACTTGGCCTAGTATCAAGATCATAACCCTTTGAGCTGTTTGGCGCTGGCAGCATCGCTGCTGCACCACGTCGGCTTCGTCTTGGGGTGGATGGTAGGATTACCCTATGTTTTTTAACTGGATCCATAAAGGTCTCAGCAAGTTGGACACTCGAAGCTTTGCTACTTCTATGGTCAGCAAATATTTGCCGAAGCTCTTCATCCCTAGCCTGCTCTTCGCTAC